ATTCATTCCAAGGGACTGATGAAGTGATAAAACATGATACCACTGACTGATAACTGTAATTGTTAACCTTTTAAATCTCGAAATGATAACCTTTAGCATAACAACCGATGATATCAATAATAAAGTTTTTTGTTATAAAATAATGTCTCTACTATGTTTCGCTGTCCGAAATACTTCTAAAATTCATCAGTGATTTAAATAAACTTATACTGTTAAAGTTGATAAGAAGATAGTAATTAACTGATTGCATTGATCGGAGGGAAAATTAAAAAAATAAACAAAAAAAAAAAAACGAAAAACGAAAACAATTAGTTGTGGGCATTTAATTGTATTACATTTTATTAATTTTTTTTATCGAAGCTAATATTTTTGTTAACTTTTAGATAATTATAAAATTCCATAAAAGTGCCGTAATTTTATACTTTATAATTTTATAAGCTTAGCTTTAATTTAGTATATTAAAAAATCAAAAAAAAAATCACAAATATTGCACCAATAAAATTAGTTAATCAATTGGTTGTTGCAAATAATTTAGTCTCAAATCATTAAGCTTAAGCATAATTAAGAAATAAGCTTAAATAACTTCAAACAAAGTAATCAAACAGAATATGTCTCAATTAGTGGATGTACAGAAACAGCTAAAAATTAAAAATTTCAAAATTGAAAAACACAAATTTAAACAAAATATATTATCCATTTATGAATAGAAGAAAGCTATTTAAAAAACGATTAGTTCAAGTGTGACTTCATTTCATTTTTTGGAAACTTTTTAATTTTTAAAAATTTTCACTCTTTTCTAATTTGCACCTATCCAGCGTAACGTAAAATTTAATTATTGGTATAAAAGTTTCATTGGATGAGATTCAAATAATTTCATTTCTTCCTAATTTCTTTGTCGATACTGTAAATAAAATGGATGAAAATAATGAAAGTCAAAAGTAAGAATTATAAAAAAACAAGGAATAACAATTTAATTTCATTCTAAATTCTATATTTCTTATCAATGTATTAATGTCACTTTGATTTTAATCTGTCAAAAATTTTTTTAATTCTAAATTAATAATTACTGAAGTGTGGTCTTCAAAGAAAACTGATTGTTTACAGTAATTTTTTAGCTTAATATCAAATTTGTTTTTTTTTTTTTAAAAAAATTCATTTGATTTAATTTCATTTAAAAGCAAAACAATCTTTGCATTTTTTTTTATTTTGGTAACTCAAATTTTTCGAATATTCTCGATAATAATGTTGGATTTATCTTTGCGATAATTTAACATAATAAAATCGTTTTGTATTTTACAACTGAAATAGAATTAATAAAACATAAAATTTAAAATAAAAATTTAATTTATAGGAAAAATTTTGTTTTTTTCATTCTTTCCTTTTTTCCTGATACTACTTATTACTAATTGCAATATTTTTCATCAATTCTGGCCCACCAATCATTTCCAATTTTCCATTATCTCAAAAAAAAAGAAAAAAATAAATCAGGAATAGAAGATATAACATCTTTCATTTGCTATAAATTAAATCTCACTACTAAATCAAACACCGCCCGGCTCACTTGTCACTATTTCCCAAGCAAACAAAAAAAAAGAAGAAAGAATGAACAAATCATTTTTTCCATTTTTCCGCATGTATTTCTTTCTTTTTTCTAAAATCTCTTTTTTTTGTTATTTCAAAATATTTTTAATTTGTTAAAGGCTAACAAATAAATTGTTGATTTATTTAAAAACTAATAAAATTTGATTGAGTAATTTGATTGAGTAATACATTTGATAATATGATGTTGCTATACATTTTTTGAAAAAAAAAAAACAATTTAAGATTGATTACAGTAAAATTGATAAATTCGACAAATAAAAATCAAAAAAAAACGAAAGAAATTTTCGATGAACTCTTATAAAATACATGTTTATTTCATTTTTGGATAGCAAATCAAATAATTTATGAACAAATTTTGATTTTTTAATTTGCTAATATTTTACAATATTTGTTGTACTTAAAATTTATTACCAAAGTAACATTAATGTGCTTTTTGGATTTTGTATTTAAAAAATAAATTTAATTAGCATATTTAGTCGATTTTTTACACGATCCTTACCAGCTAATCCTTATTTCCTCCATAGAATCCCAAATAATTTTTTTTTCCAATATTTGAAATAGACAGTACAAATTGTTTCTTTCAACTTTGTTTATAACTTTACACTTTATTCTTTTTAATTTCTTTTAAAAAAGTTAAACATTCATTTTTCGACCTTGCATATATTGAAGATTTATTCATTCATATATGTTAATCATTTTTTTTTTTTTTTGAATTTTTATTTAATCACTGATCATATTTATAAAATAAAATTGTGTTACATTCTAAATTGTACCTTAAACGATTCTACTTCAAATCATTGCTTAATTAGCAAATTATCAGTTTCAATTCAGTGTTTATATTCCAACTTAGAATCGAAGAATGAGATATGATTAGATATCATTAACACATTGGTCAGTTATTATAATTTCCACCAATATTAATCGATAAGAATTGAAACGTTTATGTTCTAGCATATAATATCATGATATTTCAAATCATTATCATGATTTCTGAAGAAATTTATTCTTGAAATAATTGAAATATACTAACTTACAGTAACTTATAAGAAAAGCAAAAAAAGAAGATTAATATATCCATTATTATCCTTCTCATATGCATTGATTGAGATTAAATTACTATTGTCATTTGCTATAAGCTAATCTAATCATTGTAATTATCGTTATCACAAACATTCTTCTTGCACTAATGACAATAATAGTAAAAAAAAAAAAAAAATACAGAAGAAAAGATTGAATTTTCCAAAAAAGATTGAATTTTCCAACTATGTTTGACAATGTAAATGAATGATTTTTTTTTTTTTTTGGCCTTTAAACAGTTCTTTTATAATAAACTATCATTGAACTTTTTAAAATTTAAAACTGTTTAAAAAATAATTCGATTATAGCTGTAATACTTGATATTATTACATTAATCAATTAAAAAAAAGTAAGTGAAGAAGAAATAAAACGAATTGAAATGATATGTATTTGTTTAGTTGCTTGTTTATTGTTATCATAGAGATTGAAATAAAAACAATTTTTTTGTCCCTTAATTTTTATAAACTTTAAAAGATTATTTAATTAATTATTATTATTATTGTGGTTCTTTACTTTGCAAATCATAAATTATTTGAAAAGTAATACTGATTTTTTTTTGTATCGCATTAAAAATATAACATTAAAAATGTGAAAATTTTTAGCAGTCAATTCAAACTTCTAAATTATGATCGAATATGATACAACAACAACAACTGCAGCAACAACAACAACTGCAACAATAACAACAACGACTACAATAACTACTACTACAACTACAACAACTGCGACACATGCAATACCTCATATTCTTAATATTCATGTTCATTTGGATGATAATGAAACACCAATTAAAGCGGTCTTAGATGAAACAAAATGTGAGAAAAGATTTTTAAAAAATAAGAAAATTAATTAAAAGACAAATTTGTGAATAAAAAATAATTTATAGTAAATTTATTTTGCAGATAGAAAAATTTTCATATTTATCTTTAACAATTTTTTTCTTTGAAATAACTATGGAATAAAAAAAAAGTTCTTTCTCTTTTTTTCAAAAAAAAAAAAAAAAAAAAACAAGATAAAATATTTGGAATTTTCATCTCAAATCGATAAGTTTCGAATTGTTTTGCATAATTTTTCATCTTTCTGTTTTTGTTTCAGCAACAAATTTCTTTTCAATCGATCAACAACATCGTTCTGATAGTACGAAAAAAATGACAAAAATATGTATTACACCACTTGGAGATACTCTAGCAATGGATACAATTGATACAGGTTTATAATAAATAATTTTTAATTTCATTTATAAATTAATGAATTTGTTAAAATTATTTGCTTTTTTCTTCTTTTTTTTCATTCGAAAATTATATGTTAATATTTATTAATGATTATCTGTTATTAAATTAATAAATAAATATTATTTTGATAAATTATACTATTCTTATATACATGTTTATGTAAAAATTATCAAATTGTAATTTGTTAAAATTATATTTAAAAAAAAAATGAAATCGTTTTAACATTTATTAAAATGCGTCATTTAATCTTTAGTATCTTTTTCATCAACAACAATGCAAACTCAAATTTCACCAACAATTTCAACACTTTTACATCAACAGCCTCGATCAGCATCAATATCAATGCTACGTGATAAATGGGCTAGCAAGGTGGAATTTATGCTAGCAGTGATCGGTTATGCGGTTGATCTTGGCAATATATGGCGATTTCCATCAACATGTTATAAATATGGAGGAGGTATTCAAATTATTTTCTTTCTCCTTCTCTCTCTCCCTCTCTCTCTCTCTCCCTCTCTCTCTCATAAGATATAATTTAAAATGAGTAAATTTTAGTATTAATTTTTGCTTTGTTTCAATATTATTTATTAATGTCTAACAAAGAAATGTATTAGAACTTCTTATTTTTGTAAATAACAAAAAAAAAAGATTAAAAAACTTTTTTCTCAAATATGCATAAATTCACGGATAGTTTAACAAAATAAATCTTTTTAAATAATAATTTGCTTAAATTTATTTATTACAAATTTCAATTGCTAATTTTTGTCATTTTTTTCCTTTGTTTTTCATTCGAAAATCAGATAAATTAGAATGATTTGAATGAAGGAAATATTCTATTAAGAAAACTTGAAATAACATAAAAATTTAATCTATTCTAAATATAAGTCATATTCAATATATTTAACAAAAAAAAAAAAAAAATTTGATAATTATTTAGCATTAAATGAAAAAATAATAACAGTGGAAATACTTCATAAATAAATTTCAGTGATAAAGACATATAATTAAACAGTAGATCAATCAGCTAATTAATTAATCAATCAAACAAACAGTAAAACTATTTTAGGTGCATTTTTGATACCATATTTGATTATGCTCTTCATTGGTGGTTTACCGGTATTTTATATGGAATTAGTCCTTGGTCAATTTCATCGTTCTGGTTGCATAAGTATTTGGAAAAAGATTTGTCCAATGTTCAAAGGTGAGATTTATCTCTTTTTTCAACAAAACATTAATTCATTATTAAATTATAGGTTAATTACAATTCTAAAACTAATAGACAACTTCTCAATTATTAAAATGATTTCAATTAATTTAATTTTCTCAGTTTTAAATTGATTAATTTGAACTTACAATTAAGTTTTAGTTATTATCAAAATAATTTCGACTAATTTAATTCATTCTATTTTCAATAAATTAATTTGAAATTAAATCAAACGATTTATGTCTTATAAGTCTTTATTAAATACTTCAAAAAAAAAAAGACAATGAATGCTTTTCTTAATTAGCAAAATAATTTCATTTAATAATTTGTTCTGTTTTAAATGAATTAATTCAAAATTATGAAAAAAGAGTTTATTACAGGTATCGGTTATGGTATATGTTTCATATGTACCTTTATTGCTTGCTTCTATAATGCAATTATTGCGCACGCCTTATACTTCTTGTTTAAATCTTTACAGGTGAAAAAAAAAAATTCTTCAAAATAATTTTCATTACATTTTTAAATTATTGTATAAAATTTTCATTTTAAAAAAGAAATGAAATATAAATCGATTAATTTAAGAATATTCAAGCAATAATACAATTAGTCAAACTATTTTTTCTTAATTAAATTTAACAAAATAAAAATTGAAAATGCTTGCTTCATCTTCTAATGGTGTAATAAGTAGAAAGTATTATCAGTAAGTATCATTCGTTGTAATGAAAGAAAAAAAAAAATTCCATTACCAAATTTATTTTTTCGTTACATTTACAATTAATCAATTGAAGTTGCCACATTAAATTTGTATTCTCATTTATTATTATTGCCATTATAATTGTAATTATTACTATTATTATTATTATTATTATTATTATTATTATTATTATTATTATTATTATTATTATTATTATTATTATTGTTATTGTTGTCACTGCTATTATTATTAATTATTATTTCTTTTTCTATTACATTTATTATTTTGGTAGCATTTTAGTCGGAAGTACCATGGAAAACATGCAACAATCCATGGAATACACCGTTATGCGCAATTAGTCTAAATGGTTCAAATAGTGCAGTTGCAATCAATGAAAGCAATCAATTGAATAGAAAATTAAGGACACCATCTGAGGAATTCTTCCTGTTCGTTTTAATTAAATTAAAATTTTAGTAATTAGAGTCTCACTTAAAAACTTTATTTTATATTCATTTGGAAACACATTTCATGACTGTTATATCAAAAAATTTATGTCAATTTCAAAATACTTTTTATTCTTTCTTTGTTGTCAAGCATTAAAATGTCTTGTGTTATTTTCATTCAATTTAACTGATTTTAATTTTCATTTTGAATTCTAATTTCACATAGCAATGAAATTGTGCACACTTCGGCATTCATAATATTTAAATAATTTTTGAGACATAACTTGTTTCTTTTTTGAATTTAATTGAAGTTAAGAGATTAAACAGCTCAAGCTAATATTTAGATTGTGATAACTAGTTCGATATGTGACAAATATCATAAATGATTAATCCATGAATTGTGATTTGATTATATAAATTTAAAAATAAAGGAATACTCTATTGATTTCAAAGAACTAAAAAAATGCTTAGATTCTTTTATTTTTTTTCAGATTTAATGTATTGGAAGAAAATCATTCCAGTGGTTTTAATGATCTTGGTGGTATTAAGCCATCGTTAGCTTTATGCCTCACTATTGTTTTTATTCTTGTTTATTTTGCTCTCTGGAAAGGACCGCGAAGTAGCGGGAAAGTATGCTTTTCTTTATATGTTCAAAAAGTTTTCATAAAACAATAAAAGATATCCATTAAAGTGATAAATTTTGAATATTACTACATCTAAGAGTAAATAAATGTAGATCAATCTTATCTCTAAGTAATAAGATAATTGATTGTATAAGGTAATTAATTAATGAAAGATAATTAATGAAAATAATTCACTATAATCAAATATATATTCAATTAATTTCTATTTCTTTTCTTTGAATATTATAGTCAAATATTAAGAAAAAACTATCGAATGAACTAATAACGTATTCTTGAAAAAAAAAAATGCTTTGAGCTATAGATGGCTTGAAATTGAACATCCAGTATTCATGAATAGATCAATTATTGATTAAAATAATGAAATAATATGTCTTTTATTAAATATATAATGTGTACTGTCTAAATGACATATAATTATTACATATTGGTATTTTTCTGTTCAATAATTAACCTTAATTAATTTCAAAAATTTTACAAGATTTAAAATCAATTAAGAAAGAAATTTAGTGTGTATGGATAACAGCCACTGCACCATACATAATTTTATCAGTGTTATTCGTCCGTGGAATCACTTTACCTGGTGCATCAGTTGGAATATATTATTATTTGATGCCAAATTTTAAAATGCTTCTTGATATCGATGTTTGGACAGCAGCTGCCACCCAAATTTTCTTTTCACTTGGCCCTGGATTTGGTGTATTACTTGCATTAAGTAGTTATAATGATTTTCGAAATAATTGTTATCGGTATACTCATTTTTTTTTTCATTTTAAATTATTTTTCATTTTTATTTACAAAAACTATTTAGAAAAAGCATTATGATTTTATTTGAAAAATATATTATGCATAACTTGAATGCATACATATACATATAAAAATATATACATAATTTGCAACATATATAAATATAACCTGGATATTACTTTCAAATTATTATTAATTGGCATTCTTAATTGCATGTCATATAAATTATAATTATTTCCTTATAAGCTATCATTTGTAAATATTAATTATTAACACATGCAGGGATGCACTGGTAACATCATTTATTAATTGTGGTACTTCATTTTTTGCTGGTTTTGTAATATTTGCAACTCTTGGCTATATGTCAACCATAACAAATTTACCGGTTAATGAGGTAGTAGGCGATAATGATGCTAATATCATCTTTATTGTCTATCCACAAGCAATTGCTACAATGTCATATGCAAATTGTTGGTCTTTCATATTTTTTGTCATGTTAATTACTCTTGGCATCGATAGTACGGTAAGTATTACTGTAAGCTTTTTTACAGCACTATGGTAGACATTTTCTACGGTATTATCGTAAACTTTTTTTTGTGTACTTCACTGGTGCTATTAAGTTGTTTAAATATTTAATAATAAAAATTATTGGAAAATTTAAAAATTTTCAGTTTTTTTTTCAAGAAAAAATAATGAAAAACACTTAAACATATTATTTTAAGACTTAAAAAAATGCCACATGTATGAAGTGCCTAAGGTTTTTTTAATGTTGACCGTCATTTTTTTCATCACAAAATCATTAAAACTTTTTATTTGTAAAAGAAAACTATTTTTTAGTTCAGTGGAATTGAAGCATTGATTACGGGATTCTGTGATGAATATCCGGAAGTGCTAATACGGAGACGTGAAATATTCGTGGGTATCGTAATCGTTGCCTATTATTTCGGTAGTCTTCCAACTATTACTTATGTAAGCATTAGCTAATTCCATCTTTTCTACTCTTTTGCTAACTGTTTATTTAATTGAAAGATATAACCAATTTTTTAAATACAACAGCTATAAAAATTTCAAATATATATATATATATATATATAGATATATATATATATATATCTATATATATCTATATATATATAGTAATGTTTAAATATAGCAATATTGATTAATTTTAATTGATCCTAAAAATTAATACTTTATAAATTATTTGTCTCTCATATAATTAGTTGCAATGAAATAAGCAATAATACGTAATTACAACAATATTGGTTAATTTTAACTAATTTTAAAAAGTATTTAGTACTCTATTTCATAAATTAAATGAATTAAAATTCATTTAAGGGTGGCAAATATATCATATCATTCCTTGATGAATACGGTGTATCATTATCAGTATTATTTATTGTAATGTGTGAAATGATTGCCGTTTGCTGGTTTTATGGAATACAACAATTTAGCCAAGATATTCAACAAATGCTTGGCTTTTATCCAGGATTATATTGGAGAGTTTGCTGGACATGTTGTCCAGTTGTCATCACTGTAAAATTCTTTCTTCTTTCATTTTTTTTTTCTCACAAACTTAGAAAATCTTTAAATGGTCAGAAGATGGTAATCATTTGTAGAAAAGCATTTCAGTATGAGTTATTATTGTTTATTAAAAAAAAAAAAAGAAGCAATATTCATAATTACAATTTGTAACAATTAGAAATTTTCAATTAAGAATAATGGTTCTTTAATTTCATTTTTTTAATTTCAAAAAATTAAAATTAAGATAAAATTTAAAATCCTACTTTTTTTTTCCATTTTTTAGACAATATTCTTATTGACCATTTATAAAACATCACTGGAACCGATGACCATTGGGTCGTATACATATCCACAGTGGAGTGCTTATTTTGGATGGTTTCTACGTTTAACATCAATTCTCAGCATTCCATTCTTTGCAATCTATTATTTCTGCATTGCTAAAGGAACCATAAAAGAAGTTAAAATTTGAAATTTTTGCATATTTTTTAGTAAAAATTTTGAGTTACGCTTAAAAAATTAACGTCAAATGGACAGCTGATGGACTGTAAGAAATAATGCCAAAATTATGATATAATATATTTTAAAAAGTTAAAGCAAAATAAAATATTGCTTATTAATTAATTAAGTTTACTACTATCTCTCTTTTATTGATTATCCTCCATTTTTTATTTTTTTGAGAGTAACAATTGAAATATTGCGATAAATGATATTTTTATTGATTACAATGAAATTACAAAACTAGAGTCAAATTTTTGAACTTAAACTTTATTATAAAATATTCATTTAATACTATGTTTAAACAATTGCATTCCAATTTTTTCAACTCAAAATTTTAATTTTATTAAATTTTCAATTTAAAAAAAATAATAAACTACTGGGAAAAAATTCAGCGCTGGCAATTTCTGATAAAACCACAACAAAGTATCTATTCTCAGACATCATCAATAGCGCCATCGACACTGCTGCAACGTGATTTGCCAACCACTGATACCAAGGATAGTGCACCTGATAAAAATGAAACTCCAATGGCTACCAATAATACCATCCATTTGTAGAAGATAGTCATTTATCTTTAAAATTTAAAAATATATGGAATAATTTTATTCATATCCTTTCTTTTGCAACTTTTTTTTCATTACATTTTTCTTAATTTCTTTATTTCATTCAATTATAAAGGGATTGATAAAAAAAAAAAAAAGGAAAAACTGTTTATCTTATCAATGATGTTAAGTTGAAAGGAAAAAGTTGCATATAAGAAATAGTTGAAAGTTATTAGTTGGATTAATTTAAATAAAAAACTCTTAAATTGTTAATCATATTAATTAATTATATGTTTGTCATTAAGCTTCGATGTGCAGCTTGTTTGGTTCTAATGAAAAAAGATCTCTTTTTTTTATTATGATTAATAATCATTATTTTTTTTTCAATTCTGTCTTTATTTTTCGTTTTAATGTTTTATAAAATTAAAAAAAAAATGAAATTTGTTCATAGATTTTTGATGGATATAATTGGAATTTATTTTTTTTTCTTTGCAAAGAAAGATATCAAAAAATGTTCACTTTATTTTTATAGTAATTTACATTAATTAATTGAATTATATTATCTGAAAAAAAAAAAAACTGTTTCAGAAAAAAATTATCATAATTTTAACTCTCATAATTTCAGCTACTTTAAATTATGATCTGAAAAAAATTTTCAATTATTTTTTTCACTGTTATTGTTTTTTTTTTGTCACTTGTTGCAAGCTATCATTATCAAATGGTAATTTATGAAATGTTAATTGGAAATATTCGTCGATCCAAACAAATTAATTATTAAAAAAATTTTGACTAATATATTTTTGTTAAAAATATTGCTTGAAAAGTTTAAGTTAAACCAAGTACAGGTATCAAATTATTTGAAAATAAATTATTAAGATAAAAAAAAAAAAAATTAGATACTTCAACTTTCTTTTTTGTTTAGATTTTGTTCTGCAAAAAATTATTTCTTATTGAATATTTTTCTTGAAAAGTTAATTGATATGAAAATTTCATGTTAAGTAATATGAAATGCATTTTTATTTATATCTTTTGCAGATTTCGATTCTAACTTTTATTTTTGCATAATTCTCCCAGTGTTAAAATAATTAATTCATACATAAGTGTGTTTTTAATGTATTTATTAAAATATTCTTTTTTTATTTATTTAAAAGTTTTTCTTTTATTGACATTTTTTTAAAACTTTTCTTTAATATAATAATAAAAAATGTTATATCTTGCAAAAGAACTAATCAAAAAAAGAATGAATTCAGCTTTATCATTCATTAAACTGAAACTTGTTATAATCTTCTATTTACAATTTATTGTGAGTAATAATAATTAAGATAAATGGAGAGAATATTAATTAATTGATAAAGGAAAATTTTGATTAACAAAAAAACTTTTTTAATCTTTGATATAATTGTTTGAAATAATTTCAAAATTCAACCACAAGAAATTAAGATCTCTAAGTCAATTTATTTCTTGGTTATTTAACATCTCTGCAAGTGTAAATTTTTTTTCTTTTGTCGTCACTGATAAAATTTTAGCTTATCATTTGAAAAATTTTAAGAATTATCAACGATACACTACAAATTATGACTGATGTAACAATATACCTTCAAAATCAAAAAAAACCTGACAAGCAAATTTCAATATATTTATTGAATCAAATTTTTAAAAATTGTTCGTTGCTTTCTATGACTCTTTTTTCCTAATCTATATTAAAGGTAATCACGTTTTAAACGTTAATTCAAAGTTAGTCTTTTATAGTTACAATTGTCGTACTAATTACATTAATTTTGATTCAAATATTTTTGACTTATCTTTCCATTTTTTACATTAATCAATCAAATTAAACCTTTTTTTCTTGCTTATTTTTAATTTTTATTCGGAAGGAAAGGAATCTCAACAGCAACGGAAACTTTATTCTATTTCAAATGATAGATAATTTAAATTAGAACAATTTTCTGCTAACGGGCTATTTTGCACAAATTTTTACATTTCACATTGCTCCCTATGGTATAGTAATTAATTAAATTAATTAATTGCCTTAGACAAATAACTTTGTGGAAATTATTTAGAGTAAATTAGGATTGATCTGTGTACTTATTTACTCGAATTATTAATATCATTCATTTTTTTTTTGACCATCCAAATTATCTACTTTGTTCTTCTTTATAGTGTTAATCAGTCAAATAATCAGTTAATTGAATTCTACAGATATCAGATTTGATCATATCAATCTATTGATTTGATCTTTATTTCATACTATTTGTATTATATAAGTGATAATTGATGAATGATTGTGTGGTATGTTTTCGAAGTTATTGAATTTTTATAAAAAGAACTTGTAGTAATTGCTAATTTATATATAACATTTCTATTTAACACAAATTGTTGTCACATCAGTGTCACATTTCGATCGATCACATAATATTAGGTAATTAACTATATATTATGCATATCAGTAATTAGTCTTTTAGGTTTTACTTCATTAAGCCAACAGTGATGTTTAACAATCTTATCTGCTTTATATGTAACGGACGAATAATAATGGAACAAATTTCAGTGTTACATTCATGTGGTCACGCATTTCACTATCAATGCATTTTACATTGGATTAGAGTAATTTGTTAATAACAATTATTATTAGTTTGAGTAATTCATTTAATTCTTGCTATCGATATTATTATTATTATTATTATTATGAATATCAATATTTATTATTATTACTATTATTATTTGAGTGAGTCATTTAATTATTATTTGGTTCTTTCTTTGAATTAAGACACTAGTTTTATCTCAAATGATTCTTTCAAAAATACATTTACTATTTGCTTTTCTAATTTATCTTTAAAAATTGCAATTGTTCTAATTTTTTTAGGTTTTTAAAAAATGTCCGATATGTTTTAAGCCAAAAAATGAATGCAATATTGTTAAACAATTATATTTTGTTACTGATGAAGAAGATCAACAAGAAGAACGAAGCAATTATTCACCTTTACCACGAAAAAAAGTATTCATTAATCTTTTTTTTTGCAATTGAAATATTAATGAATCACAATTGCAAATATTTAAAATTTAAAAAACTGTATCAAAGCAAATTATTAAATCATTTTTATTAGTTATGCAATACGATTACTTGGTGAAAATAAATATATTTCTATAAAGAAACAAAATAAGCTTAAGAAATTGAAATTAAAATTGTATTTTTTAAAATTAAATTTCTGAATTAAAATTTTAAAATTATAAATTATAATATTGCATAAATGTTTAGATTAAAGGTAATTTGGACGATTTGCGAAGTGATAATGCACTTTTTCGTAAGCAAGGAGCAGAAGCTATCAAAATTATAAATGAAATAAGAAAACTGAAAGAACAAAAGATTTCCAAAATCAGTAAATACTACAAGAGAAATACAAGTTAAATTTTTTTTTTTCATTTTATGATGAAATTGAAAAATATTTTCAAATCTGAAATTTCATCCATTTGAGCGATTAACTTGAACCATTTCATTCTATTTACATGAAATAAACAAATGTCGGAAAAGTTGTAAATTTCAGGAAAAATTTCCTTATGTCTTCGTTTTTTAGATGAATTGAAAAATAAAAGAATTTTTTAGTTAACTGATCAATAAATGTAAGAGCGAATGTGAGAAATGAATTTGTAATTGTGTTTGGATATGAAATACGGAAATGATGAAAATTTATGAATTATTTTATGTTTGAAATTGTTCACTGCTTCAAAATAACTTTTCCGGCACTCACATAGTATTAATTGCATTAATTATTTTTCATACTTATTTCATGCAAATGTGATTATGAATAAATCTTTGAATATTTAAACTTTTGAATAGTTTACTCTTGGAAAAAGGAAAATTAAAATTTTGCAATGCATACATAAAAAATAATACTTTGTAGTATCAAAAAATTGAAACTATGAATTTCAGTAATTTATTTATTAAAAAGATATAAAAGGATTATTTCATAGGGATGATAAAATTATCTGATAAATTCAGAAGTGCTAATCAAATAATACAATTTGTTTCATTTTTTATTGCTTCCGTTGATTGACAATGATACTGCATTAATTTAAGTGGCTTATTTTATTTAATCATTCAGCTTAATTTCTTTTTTCGATGACAATTTTTGTATGTGTCATCCATAAAATCTATTTAATAATGACATTTGTAAGTTACATTGGTGAAATCAAATTCGATGTTAGCTGCTATTTTTCACTGATAATATAACTTAATATATATATATATATATATATAACAAAATTGATCATTTTGGTAGGAATTTCATTAACTGAAACTTAAGGAATTACTCAATTATAATTTTTCTAAATACGTTTAAATTTACTTAACTTTCTTATGAACTATTCACATAATTTATATAGAAAACCCCCACCCACTAAAATGTGTTATACACTAAATGCATTTGTACGTTCTGTGCAATTTGGCATTTCATATTGATTAGACAATCGTAGATGAGTAACAAATATATTTTAATACAATATTACAATTTAAGATACAATCTAAACGAGTTTACTTAAGTTAACCTTACGTGACGAACGTATAAATGTAAGTGTAACTTTCACTTGCGCTTTTCTATTCTATTATTATATAAAACAAATTTTAAATTACAAATAATTTTATTTCAAGAAATAAAAAGAAAAAAGTAATCTTGAAATAAGCAGAAAGAACTTAATTAGTTCTCATTAACTTTGTATCCACATTGGAGCAGAAGAAACAGAGAAACGCATTGCTTAGTTTATGATGAAATGATAATAGAAGATAACATAAAAGTTTTTGATGTAGTAAAGATATATCAACTGATAAGCTCTATCAATTCGTTCATTTGTCACATGTCACATTGTTCCTTCCTTCCTAACAGTTTCAAGAATCCATGCACTGGATGTGCACTGTTGTCACATCTTGTCAACAATAAAATCATCTTACTATTGTCGCATGAGTAAGTGAATGTTATGCAGTAACTTATCCATTAGCATAAGTCATGTATGTGACGTGAATGTTGACAGATAATTAATTAATTGATTGCTTTGGTAGGGCAAAAAACATAATTGAAGTTTACTTGTAGATAACTTTACTTGTAACTTTATAAGTAATAACTTTCATTGATTGGATAATTGGACAATATTCGTTTTCATTTATTCTCAGTTGTATTATTCAGTTCGGAGAATTTTTTTTTTTTTATTTGAAATTATTTACAAATAATATTTATATAATTTAAAATATGTATTTATAAAAACGAAGCAAAAATATTGCGAGCGGAAGAATTACAACTGTCTGCCAGACAGCACAATCTTCTGAAATATCATTTGTTGATTTCTTTTCTTAGATATTTTATCAATAAGAGAGAATTTCAATTCTATTTTATTATTTTAGTTATTCTATCCAATATATACTTTACTCATATTACCCAAAAATCTAACCATTTTCTTGGCTAACTAATAGAAAAAATATTGTCCTCGTTTAATTCCATTTAACTAATTTTATTATTACTGCAACATTTGAGAGCACCAATCTGTAAAAACGGATTTCAATATTGAATGGAATTATGAAAGCCTTACGGAATAATTTGCTTGCTGTTGCTTTAACTTCAGTTAGCTTTCCTTTTCGACCTAAAATCTCAGCTAATTACATTAAAAAAAAGATTATTTAACACTGAAATATGAATGAAACTATAATAAATAAAGAAACGATTAATAGAAAAAAGCTTATTAAGTTACTAAATGGATAAAGCAATATTCTTGAAAAATTATTTTACTCAAATTATATTAAACGTAAAAACAATAATAAAACTAAAAAACTTCTCTGCGTTTAATTTAAAATTGCATTTTTGTGTTTATTTTATAATGAATAATGAATGATCTTGCAAACTAATTGCTACAAAATGAAATAAAAAAAAAAAATTTTAGTAAGGAAAAGATATTACCGGCAGCCGGATAATCATAATCAAAGTCCTGAAAGCAATAAGCTTTTTAAAATTTCGATTTATAACGAATTAAATTGAAAAGTCTCAGGAAGATATAGTCAAAATAGTTTAAAGAGCTAAGTGAGAACTTAAACTACAAATGATTCATACACTATAAAAGACAATATTAATTGAAATTCATTCGTTTGTTTTTTTTCTCAAGTTTAATTCTCAACGATAATAAAAAGTACGATTTTAAAAGCCTGCATTTTTTTTTTTCGGTTAATTGAAATTTAAGATGTCACCTTAATTTTATGAATTGGATCGCCTTCTGGAATCTGAAATTATTAAATCCATTAGTAATTTTATATGTATTATTGGTTATTTTCTTTATATATTTTAGCTATTTGAATTAAATTTTCCTTCTTTTTCAAATATTCTTCCATGCTCTCTCCATGCTCAACTGTTAAATTAATAAAATTTAAATAAAAATTGATTGAAACAAAATAATTTGACAATTTCTATTGTTAAACATCAATTCAACGCCATATAATCACACGTAGCGTTAGGTAAATATATTTTCATTTTTTTTTTCTCGATGCAAAAGTATTACAAAATTCAGATCATTACCTTAGAAATGAAATTAAAATTCAATTTTTTAATAAATGTAACGCACATTTGTGCACCATAAAACTGTTTTCATATCATATAAATATATATTATTAAAGAGAACTTAATTGATATTTTTTCTATTACCAAAATTTTTGAAAGTGAAATAAAAATGACCCTAGTAGTGTCCAACTTATAACGACATATGACATAATAAGCTGGAATTTGTGAATAACAATCCATATCAAAGCTATAGAACGGTCTGATATACTCTAAAAAATAAAAATAAAATAAAACAACTTTATCTGTTTAAATAATTTTATGCTATTAGCAGGAAATTAAGAAATTTCAATAACATTTCAATATCTGATATGCAAGCATTTTTGTTCATCAAATTCCTCAGTATTCTTACATTTGTGAATTTTATAGGAAATGAATTTAATAATTTGCAACTTAATTTGAATCAATTTGAAGGATGAAATTTTTCATCAATGTGAAAAAAAAAAAACGAAAATATGAAAATTATAAATAATCCGAATTTTAATTAAAATATTGTTTATGACGAATATTTTCCAAATAATTATCAATCAATCAATTTTGCATCTATCTATCGAGACAGTCAAAAAGATTAATTATGCAAATTACCATTAGCATGGCTTGAATATGTTTTTAAAATTAACAAAACTTACGTGTTGGCGGAGCATAAAGAAAAAATCGTCTACAATCCTTTTCTATGAACGTTGAAAAATTTGACAATTGTCCCACTCTTAAGAATTCGTCGTAATCAAAAGGTGAATTATCAAACCAATGATAATCTCTATTTATAAATGTTAATCCAATTAATAACGGAAAATCATTCCGGTCAGCATGAATAAGCCATTTATGTCGTTCAAATGCTAAATGGACCATATAACTTTAAAAATTGATAAATAATAATTATTCAAAAAATTGATGTTGAAAATTTGCCAAAATTATTATCATTTCTTGAAATTTGATGACAAAAAAGGAATGCAATAGATGAGTACTTCGATAAAGGAATTTAACGAGTTCAAATTCATCATTATTACGAATTGAAACACTATCCATAATTGGATAATCTGATAACTGTCGGCATACATCTTGATCTGATGTCGCAATCGTTTTCCAATGTTCATTAATTGACGTATTCTTACAAATTCATCCGTACAATTGGTGTGTAAATTATTAAATTTTAAAATATTTTATAGTAACAGATTTTTCAGCTTTAAACTTAGAATAATTTATTGGTTTAACAAACAAGAAATATTAGTAAATTGTGATAAACTTAAAATTGTTTATTTAAGTAAGCTAATATGACTAGCTATTATTAATTATTCATTAAGATGTGAATTAAGTGAATTCTCTCTATATAAATGAGAGACAAAGAAGAGAAAATGATATGAGATAATAAGTTAAATGTTAGATATGTAATTGCAATATTGAGATAAATTAAAATTGTTTACTTAAAATTGCAACTTACACGATAAGGTGTGTTGTTGTTATTGTCTAGCATGAAGTAATGATAATTAAACGACAGTTGGAGATATTTTTAAATGTTAAATGTAATAATTGAAGAACTAACACTTCGAGAGATTTTATGAACTATGTAACAATAAAAATCATCGCCGATTCGTTTCTTATAAAAGTCGGAACCACAAGAAATATCGCCTAAAATGATTAATGAATAATGCCACTGCTTTTTTTTTTTTTTTTAATTCATTTTAAAAGCAAGTTAAATTATTAGAAAAGCCACAATTTTACATGCTTGCAAGAATTTTATTATTTATAAATTGAAAAAAGCTTTTAAAATTATTAGCATAAAAACTTTTCAAAAAACCTTACAATTTATCTTAAATGAGAA